TAGTCTGGATCTCTGCCAAGGAGGAAGATGACTTACTGACCTGATCATGACTTCCATGTGCATCTTCTAACCCCCAAGTAAAATGAAAAAAACAATCATTTAAGTAGGAAGGAGGTCCAACTGTACCTGGACTTAATGCAACCGAAATTAACTGAGGTTGAAAATCTTGTTCCTGAATACTGCCGGGCTTTAGGATTTAAAAAATTCAGATAAATGTTTTATTTCTTCAGTGTCTTCTCCATTAATGGTACTGCTTGGATGAAAAGGGAACCATCCTTGATTTCATTAGCATTAAAGACTACTCTGTACATAAATATCAGTTGCTGATTTCAATTTTTCATCAAGCTTGCTTGTGTAATGACCTTGATTTTCATTTGCTGTTACAGGTTCCTACCAGCCAAAAGAAGGAAGGTGTTTATGATGTGCCAAAAAGTCAACCTGTAAGTGTAAGTATCTTCCCTATTTATATGCAGTAAAGAAGGCATGTTTCTTAGCTTCTGTAACTTTCATTGTTGTATGTAACATTTGGAACATTCCTCATGATGTGAATTTTACCAGCGATGTGGTATGGGTTGATTGGGTTCGTTCAGAGTAACCAGGACTGTAATGTCACTTACAACCATCTCATTCATTACCCGAATCTCCTTTCTGTCTTTTGTGACTCATTCTTAGGAAAGTCACCATTTATAAATGTGTTATCTGTGGCTAAGAGTCGACAATGAGCCCATGTTAATGCATGAATCGTTGCTACCTGGATTAGAAGGGTTCCTCTATTACCCAGCGCTGTAGAAGGCTTATCACTCTGAGTGAGCATGGGCTGCATTTTCTCCCCTGTGTGCCCTGTCAGAGCTGTATTTTATCTATTGTGCTCCTTCCAGCTTGGTTTAGTAGGACAGAAGGGGAGGCAAGGTCTGAATAGAGTGGAGGTCAAGAGAACTAATATTAGGAAAAGGTATGTTAGAACATTGTCTGTGACCTGTGTGGTGATTTTCTGTGGCTACAATGTCTATACCTCTCAGAAGACTTCCTGGTGAATACAATGTGCTGGTAGGTAAAGATTTCATAAAGAGCTTCAAATCAAATGTTACCAAAAAAAGGAAAAAAAGGGAGTTTGCATTGGAATTACTTTTCTGTCATTTGGAAAAAAAACCCAAACAAACAAGTTACATCAAAATCCAACCTAACATACACCATAGAAAAGCAATTATTTTTCCAATAAAACCAGCTTCTGTGGTAGCTTAGTAAGAGCTGTAGAACTGTAGGGCAGAGTTACATGCAATAACCATTAGTTTAAACAGCTGTGGGAAACTCTGAAAGGAACTACATCAAGATTAGGCATGCAAAAAGAACTCACTCAACAAATTCCTGAGTGGCAGAATTTTTTCTCTATGTATTGCATTACTTTCCTGGTTATTGTGGGCTGTAATCAGCACAAGATTTCCTCCCAGCATTACTACATATTATTTCTGTAGTGCTCTAAGTATACAAGAGGCTAAGGGTCAATACAGACTGTCAACTTAATTCTTTGTCCTGGGCTTTGCATGGACAGTAGACTATTAAAAAATAGAGGTAATATGCTCTTGTATCCAAGTGGCACCATTCCCTTTCTGTGTATTAGCATTTTGAAGAGGTGAAGCTTTTACCCCTAGAATGTATAAGGAATGGTAACAAATGGTTGAGAGAGGAAGTGGAATGACAGATGCCTTAGCAGCAAGGCATGCATTTGCTGAATGGCGGGTTATACTCTTTAAGGTAAATTTGAGCTATAAATACCTCAAAAAGTTGTTTGATTGCGTTGCTTACACAGAAAATTAGTATTTCTGAGGGTGTGTGTGAGAATGGAGGAAAAGGAAAAGGTCGGGAATTTCAGTCTACTGTAAGCATGGGATAAAATGCCTGTAGTCGAGAAAGAGAGACTCCTTTCACCTGAGGATGTGGTAACTTGTACAGCTTGGGCTGAGCACGGAGACCGAGATGTCGAATAAGAGATAAATGCTGGGGAGGGGCTGGATGGGGGCCTGAATTGTGACACTTCTGTGGTTTGCACAAACAAACAAAACTTGCCATAAATATTTCATGATAAGCCGCTAGGAGGAGGGAGGCGTCATCATGTTGCCTGGGAAAATCTAGTAAAATAACTCACGTTGCATAACTAATTCAGGTATTTGTGGGCACAGAATAGCTGTAGATTTTTCACTCATTTCTCGTATAGTTCAGTGCTACAATTTTTCCACTGTACATTTCCTGTGACTTTTTTATTATTCCTTCAGCGATGTTTCAAATTTACTCAGGGTATAGTCTGTAATCTAGGTCGTTGCAGTATGACTGGGGGTACAATACACTTGCAGTTGTGTCTGCAGACACTTTGGTATTAGACTGTCCTAATAAAGAGCATGACTGTGAGATATAGGGCATATGGAACCCACTCTGTAATCTTCAAATATATTTAATCTGTCATCTCCGTGAAGCTGGTTGCAGACTTAATTTTTAGGTTTTTTTTTGGCTATTTCATGGTTAAATTTAAAGCAATTAGAGCTTTTTTGCCAAACGGGTTATGTACTTTAATTTATGAAGAGAGAGAAGAGGAAGAAATGGGTAGCTGAGATTTTGTTTCACCTTTTTGTATTAGTATGCATTAAAAGAAAAAAAAAAAAAAGAAAAGCAGCAATAGCTCTTAAAATTAGCAATTTAATATTCCACTGCCCATCTGATTTATTGCTCACCCTTCCACATGTGAGACTCTCTGTCATTGAGACACTTGCCATAATTTTTTTTTCAATTTATAGCTGTCATTATTATATAAACCTCTAAAATTCAATCTGAGGGCAAATAATCTAGCTCATCTACCTGGTTTAAACATATAAGGACACTTTCTTTATTAGGAGATCTTGCTTTCAGTAATTTCATAATGGATGAATAAAGTGACAAACTTTTTGTAGCCCCTGATAGGTTTCAGGCACCATGAATTCTCTCTCCTGACAATAAATACAACACTTAATAAAAACGCAGCAAGTTTTGCTTGAGTTCAAACTGAATTGCCCACATTCCCTGGACAGAGATCAATTTTCCATCTTGGGATTGTTTTCCTCTGGTGTGTGGCCAGGCAAGTTATCTCTAGTCTCTGCACATAAAAGTGAGGGATACTGAAGCAGTCATCTCGGTGCCCTCCACCCTTGACTCTATGTAGCTGGTGGGGAGAAATAGCTGCTTCACGGGGAAATTCCTCCTTTCTGCACGAGGTGTCCCTCTCAGGTGGAAATAAATGTGTGTCTGGACATTGTTCTTTTGTGGCTGCAGAGGAACCTCACATGACTTGCAGGTATGATAACTTGTAAATGGTTAGGCTTAGGTAGGGTGGGATCTATCACAGTGTAAAAACTAAAAGCCAGAATCCCTTTTTCAAAGGCTGCTTTGAAGCTGGGAAGTGTAATTCATACTGATTTTCAGTAAGATATAGCTTCCTAAGAAACAGAACTGTTTGGGCAAATATTTCTCCATGTGTATGAGATGCCATAGTGGCTGAAGGTATGAAGCATCTTCCTGGTAGTGCCGTGAAGCGGAAGTATTCAACATTGTATGTACATCCAGATAGCCGATGTACTTACACAATACTGTGCTGCTGTGTGAGGCCATTTGTCAGAAGGTGTCAAAGTACTTTATAGTGTGACTCCTCGTGATCTCTGATATCAAGTAATGTAAATACGGTGCAAATGAGGCGGAAAGGAATGAGTCTCAGATCTCAGGATTTGAACGTACCCACTGAACTCAATTATGAGTGGTGGCTGATTGCCAAGTCACTTCTCTGACATTGGGATGAAAAGATTGCTTGCTCTATGTAATTCTTGTATTTCCCCGTCTCTTTGCTGCATCCCTTCCCAGCAAATCGTACCCTCCTGTAGATTTCCTTTGCCAGGCATGCAGCTCAGCTCCAAACATACACTTTTCATGGTATACAGTTTCCTCCCAGTATCTCTCCGTTCCTCTGTATCAACTCACACTTCTTATTCATTCCGATTTTCTCTCTGCTCCTTCCTTAGACCAATTCTCCTATTCTCCATTCACTGAGGGTAGACATCAAGCCAGACAAAGAAAGCAAGCTTACCGCAAAGAGCTTGTGTTGTGGTACACACTCCACTTAGAACTTGTAGTTCTGTATGTGAAATTAACTACTCTAAAAAAGTGAAATGTTTAATGAGCTCTTTTTGTCATAATTTCCTATCGTCTCCCTGTTACACATCCACATCAAGTTCTACCTGTCATGGTGTTTTTAGTAATAAGAGTCAGACTGTAAATCCCATTCACGGAGACTGTCAGTCACATCACAATAAAACCTTCTCTTCTCATCAAAATGTCTAAACTATCTGCTTACAATTTTATGAAGGCTTTCAAACAACACGTCTCACTGCTGTATAAAGATTCAAGACATTATAGCTGATGCCTTACAACGCAGGCAGTCATTTGGCTAGTACCAGCTACGTGGAAAATATTAAACCAGGGTGGAATGGACAGGGAGTAATTTGGCTGCCTTAGGGGCAAGGCATGGGAGGAGCAGATGAAGCTGGGCTGGACCTAAGCGCATCCAGGTCTAGAAGTCATAAGGACTGCCTGATCCTTCTGCCTGAACTGGCGAACTGCGTTTGGGAAAGCTCAGTTTTAATTCTGGCTGGGATTACAGTGCCATTTGGAGATCTGATTTGTTCAGGTGTCGTATCAGAGGAAGTGTGCCTGGGGTCGTCTGGATGGCATGGACAGTCCTGGGCTCTGCCAGCTCACACGGAAAGTCAGTCCCTGGAGAAACGGCATATTGCCATGTCTGGCAATAAAATAGTTCAGAGCAGCTTTTCAGGTAACTCTCACCATCCTCTACAAAAGTGAATTTTTTTACGACACTTGTTCTGGAGAAGAGCTTTGTAACTCTGGCCTTTCCCTAAGTTTGCATCAGCGGCTTTACAGAAACAACTTGCAGACTAGTGACATTAGCTTCAGCCTCCACAATCAGGCTTTCAGGATCAAATTTTCAAACATGAGAAGAACAAGAGTGCACAGACCCAGTCTCTGACCATCTGTGCTGGCAAAGCTGTCCATTTTTATTTACGTTTTCTGAGAGAGACACCTGCGTTCAAATGCCCTGACTTAGTTACACTCAATTAAACCCCGTGTAGGAGGTTTAACAGTGCGGTGCGGGACATGCATTTTGAACAGGCACAGCTACTTGTTGCAAAGTTTGAAAATATATGTTTGTTATGATCATGTCTTGTGGCATGAGTTTCTTTGATGTTTTGGTGGGCCTTTGCTATTTTTTTTAGACAGAAGTGGATATACATACCAGTATCTGTAGTGTAGACCTTGCGCTAGCTGTTCTGAGAAGGTTTTGTGCAGCGCTGGAAACACCTCTGCTCTGTGTACTCCTCCTCTCAGCTTGCCTTTTGATTTAATACCAATATTA